CGGAGCGGGGCTGCGGGGGCGTGGGGAGCGCGCTTACATTCCTCGCCGGAAGCAGCAGGTTAAGGCAGGGAGCACGCGGTTTCCTGGGCCCCGCAGAGCCCCGGAGCAGGACCGGGCGCCCCAGGAAAGGCGACTCCCAGGCGCTGCTCTCGGAGCACAGCGCTCCCCAGAGAGGTACGGCAATGCCGGGGGGACCTTCGGAAGGACCCACCTACCCGACCGGAGCAGATGGACAGCCGGAAGGGCAGGGGGAAGGTTCACGGAGGGCAGCTCTGCTCCCCTCGGCCTCACGAGCCGTGGAGCGTCCCTCGGAAGCGGGGATGTCCGCTCCGGAAAGAGCCACGTGGTAGAAGATGCCCGTCCGCTGGCGGGAAGCGTCGAGTTAAACCTTTGCTCCACCGCAGCTGAGGGCAGCCAAGTCTTTCATATCACACACTTTAAAAACCTCAAAAAAAAATCAAAAGGACTAACATTAAAAAAAAGTTTGTACAAGATTTACACATTGGATGAGGGAGATATAGTGCTTCGGCAAGGAGCGGGTTAAAATATCCTCTTCCGCTTCAGGTAGGAGTCTGCGTAATGCCCTCCGAGGCCCTGCGAGTGCTGCCCCACGTAGCAGCCCTCGGGGCTGGGCTCCGGCGACGGCAGCAGGTGGGAGAAGGCCCGCTTCTGGCCGCCAACAGGGGTCTGGAAGAGAAAGACGTGGAGGTCAGCCCAGGAGAAGTGGCAGAGAGACGCCAGCGAGCTGGGGGGCAGCCAGTTCTGCTCTGACCTTGGCATGGGAGCTGTGCGAGTGACTGTTTGGTCCTAAGCCCAGGATACTGTCTCCAGAGCCCACTGGTGGCATCCCAACAGCCTGGAAGAGGAGGGAAGGGAACCAGTTAACAGCACAGTCTGGCTGGCGATCACCCCACCACGCCACTCCTCACGGCTGTCTGCAGCCACTGCCCAGAGTATTTCCAGTCCTAGAGGACACCGGTGGGACGATCTCTCCCAGGTGCTGGAGACTGAAGTAGCAGCTCACCTTGTTCAGGTGACTCTGCTTAAGCCCAGCTTGAAGGCCACTGGTGAAGTACGAATTGGGAGATCCTGAGTAGAAGGGTGGCAGGGGCGGCCCCAAGCCACCTCGCTCGAACCCCGGAGACGCGGCTGATGAGATCTGGAAGAGAAGCAGCTCCACGTTACAAGGGGGGACAAATACAGACCCTAGAGACAGGGTCTGCACCAGCAGCAGCTTCTCACTAGCTTCCCCACCATTTTGTAGGCTCTTCTTTGCTGGTTAGTTCCCCTCAACGCTCAGGGAGGTTTACCTTGTGCCTGCTGTGCCCAAAGCCACCCAGAATGGGCCCAGTGTGGTCTCTCGTCTGGGGAAAAATTCGAGATCCCAAGTCCTTCCAGGAGAGGAGACAGACAGACAGACAGACAGACAGACATTAGAGGAGTCTGGCGTTGCAGGCAGGGAGGGCCATCTATTGGCCATGCAAGGAGGGAGCACCCAGGCGTCCCACCCCAGCTCCAAGGACCAGAGGTCTCTTCCCACTAGACCTTCTCCACAGCCAGGGAGATGGACAGACACCTACCGGCTGGTAGTCAAAGGCATAGCTGTCTCCTGCCAGCCCAGGGGAGGGGAGCAATGGGTCGGACATGGAAGTCTGCGAAATCCTGGGGTTGGAGACGTTTCCGAGCACTCCAGCCTTCAGATTAAACGCTTTGTTGGCACCACCTACAAACAAAGCGTTACCCATCAGCAGGGAGGCAGGGCGCCAGGCAGGGGTTGAGCTGGCTCCTGTTCAAAGCCGGCTGCGCAGGAGGCAATCCGCCCCCGAGCAGCCCTGCTCCTCCCTGCCCTTTACCCCCAGGGAGAGGCAGCTCTGCCATGGAAATTCACAGCCCCAAAGATTTCCTTCTGTGCTTGGAGGAGCCATCCCCAGAGGGACAGCTGGAAACAAAAGGAGCGGGACAGCCAACAGCACTAACGCGTCCCTTTCCCCATCCCTCTGGTCACGCACGGCAGCATCCCATTACCCACCTCCGAGGCTGTTTGCCGGAAGGAGACTGTGCAGGTTTAGGTAAGGGTTGAGAGGAATCTTGAAGTCTTTGGGTGGCTCCCCCAGCAGCGAGACCTACGAGGAAAACGGCCAAGGGAATCAGACTGCACCTCAAGAGTCAGGAAGGGAAACCAATGCTCAGTTACAGCGGAGGACCATGACAGTTCACTGCAGCGCACAGCCTGGAGGTGCCACCGACTTAAAGGAAACGCTGGAGGCGCCAGAACCACCACAGCACGGTGGGGTGGGGGCAGGACAGGCTGACTCCCGACAGAGCCCATCTCTTACCCCAGATGCAGGAGGCCCGTTCTCACTCTGCTTTGGTTTCTGGAGGCCGCTGATGACAGATCCCAGAATGGAGGTGGTGAGGCCTTGCAGGGCAGGTGGAGTTACTGTCGGAGGGGTCAGCTGGGGCACCTGTGTGCCCATCACAGAGCTCTCGCGCTCGACCCCCACGGGTCCCAGGAAAGATGCCAGGGGCACATTTCCAGAAGGCAATATAGGTGATTTCACATGTCCCTGTGCCATATCACCAGCCAAGGGGCCGCCTGGGGAGAGAAAAGAACAGCGATAGCATCCAGCTCCACCTGCGCTTTCAGCCTTTCTCTCCCTCTCCTCCACGCCACACAAGCTGCCTTGTCCCAGAGAGCAGCTATGGCCTCGTCGAGCGCTGGCACCCATCGCTTGCACTCTATCAAGAAACAAACCCAATCCCAGCTATCGCCGCTCCTCCCATCCACCTTGGGGGAGTCCCCTGGGGCTTTCCCACCCCCACGGCACAGGGACCTCTGTCTAGGGAGACATCCTCAGTGTCTCAAAGCCACAGCAAGCCCAGCAATCTCTGCGCGCGTCCCTTCTTCATACTCGAGGAGAAGCAGAAGTGACGCCCGACTCGCAGCCCTGGCTGCGGGGACAGCGCCTGGGAGCAGACCTTGTGTCACAACCCGCCGTCGAGCTGTTACCTGAGGAGAGCTCTCCCAGGAGCTGGCCGGCCGGCTGGGCCGGGGCGCTCGCCAAGCCCAGGGCGCCGTGCGTCAGGGAGCTCAGAGGAGAGTCGCCCAGGATCCCGGGCTTCTGCGAACAACAGCAGGAGTTAATCCCAGGCGCGGTGCTGGGGCTGCAGGCTGGGGACAGAGCCAAGCTGCAGGAGTGCTGCAAGAAGCCAACCCGCCCGTGGCACATGACGCACGCTTAGAGCGGAGCGTGGGGGCCCTAAGTTACGCAGGCATCGGAACAGCTCGAGGCTGAAGGCAGCAGCTGGCCACCCGGTTAGGAAGCACCTCACAGCCCGACAGGTCGAACAGCTTCCCCTTCCAGACCCTGCTGCCATGCCGAGGGCTGGAGCAGGGTGCAAAGACCCTCCTGAGACCTGGGCACCGATCAGCCACGAGGAAGGGGGAGTTTCACACGTTCCCGGACGATGAAAACACATTGCCCAGTCGCTCTGGGGGAAGGAGGGAGCAGAAATCATAGTGCCTGTGGGAACCAGCCGGCTGCTCAGGGGAGCAGATGAAACCTGGCAGCGAGCGTTCAGCTCAGCAGACAGCATGCAGACGCAAAGGACGGGATCACGACCGTTAGCTAAAGCTCAGCACGCACACACTGCACGGCTCAACTGTTACGGCAAAGCACAAAGAGGAACACGCTACAGCCACCACTTGTCTCTCTATTGACGCATTTGCATTTCAAAGCTCTCCCTGCAGGGCCCAACAGGGAGAGGGCTACAATTTCATGGTTCCTTAAGCAGCAAACACAAGAGAAGAGCATCAGGGAGATACTCCCCCG